AATCCCTACCCCGGGGCGCCGAGGTTATCCTGCCCCCTCCTTCCCCGGGAAAGGGTGTGATTTGCATGGCTGCCCCGCCTCGACACGCTTTTGGCCGCAGGTTCGGGGTTCCTGATGTCCCGGGGGCGGCTTTCTGTCAGGATGTGTCTGAACCTCCATCTGTGTGTGTGGTTTGATTTAATTGGGACGGGGGTGGGATGAAGCCTTCAGCCAAGCTCTGGCTTGATAAAACCTGTGCAGAAATGCACCTCAGTATCTTCCTGTGGCCGCAGGCCTCAAAGGAGCCCGGAAATAGCGCATTCCTAGCCCCGGGATTCCCCGGGAGTGCACTGATTTTCCGTTGAAGGTATAAGTAAGGGTCTCCTGGAAGACACAGGGAAAGGCCCCAGCCGGTTTGGCTCAGTGCTTAGAAAGTGGGCCCCGCGGACTGAAAGGTCCCGGGTTCAAATGCGGCCAAGGGCACTACCACTGGCCCTTCAAAAGCCAGCTTCTTGAAGCCCACTCTGACTCCCACCCCCAAGAACTCCCTTGCCCTTTGTCGCCATCCTCCCATGATACATCCAGATTAGAGAGCGTGCTTTCTATTCGTTAGGGTCCTAGCACCTAGGACCCTGCCTGACCATGCAGTTTGAAATGAAGAGTGTAGTTAAGGGTTATAGAAATGCTGTTTTCCGAGGAAGTAAGTCAGATAGGTGTGATCAAAGGTAAAAGAGAAAACAAGGAGAGATGAGCCCACGGCCTCTTCATAAAGTGACCCTAGCAGATGATAGATGCAGAACCTTTATGACAAGGGTGCAAAATTTAGGAATAGAGGTGATGTGCTTCAATAAAAATAGCAGAATATCTGAAATTTTTCTTTTGAGCAGCAGACATTGAGCTGCTAGGTACCCAGCCCTTGGCTGGTGTTGGGAACACAAGGAGGTAAATAAGAAAGATCCAAGAGGCCAGTCTCCAGACAGATAAAAGCCACTGAGGTGTGGGAAAACTATTTCTAATCATTTTTAGGTCATTCTCTAAAATTTTCATTTTATTTATGTATTCATATATATTATAATAAGTGTATATATTTTACAAATGAATAAATACATATATTTGTATACTCAAAATGAATATGCAGAAATACATACTCAATAGTGATTTGCTGATGAGATTACAATGAAAACGGTATAGAGTCGACAACAATAGTGTGGTAATACTTTGCTAGGAGTAAACCCAAAATTAGGGTGTTGTGGGAGCCCCTTTATGGAAAGAACCCCTAACCCAGCCAAGTGATTCAAAGCAGGAAATGAGGCCTTGACTAAATCAATACCCCGCACATTGTTCATCAACAGTGGGGAGAAAAAAAAAATCTATGACCAGGACAAAATTTAGGAGAGAAAAATTCCCCTGCCCAAGAGAAAGGTGCACTGCATAGTACCACACAGAAAACACAAAGTGGATTTCATCGTTCCTTCAGCAACATCTGTCTTCCTTTTTCTCCTTTCTAAAAGAACTTTTCCCCTCTGAGTATAAAAGCAATGTGTGGAAATGTAAGGGACCCAGAATAACCAAAACTATCTTGGAAAAGAAGAACAAAGTTGAAGAACTCACATTTTCCTATTTCAACACTTACTACAAAGCTACACTAATCAAGACAATGTAGTACTGGCATGAGGATAAACATGTAGATCAATGGAGTAGAATTGACAGTCCAGAAATAAACCCTTATATTTACAGCTGATTGATTCTCTTTCTTTCTTTCTTCCTTTCTTTCTTTCTTTCTTTCTTTCTTTCTTTCTTTCTTTCTTTCTTTCTTTCTTTCTTTCTTTCTTTTTCTTTCTTTCTTTCTCTCTTTTTCCAACAAGGATGCCAAAACAATTCAATAGAGAAAAAATTGCCTTTTCAACAAATGGTGTTGTGACAACTGGATATTCACATGCGAAAGAATGAAATTAGACTCCTTCCTGCCACAATAAACAAAATTTAACTCAAAATGGATCACAGATTTACATGTAAGAGCTAAAACTATAAAACTCACAGAAGTTTACATAAAAGTAAATCTTTGCTTATATAGAATGCCAAAAGCACAGGTAACAAAAAAAACAAAAAAAATAGATAAATTGAACTTCATCGAAATTAAAAACTTTTTTGTTATAATTGGTATGATCAAGAAAGTGAAAGGACAACCCAAAAATGGGAGAAATACTTGCAAATCCTATTTCTGATAAGGAGACTTGTATTCAGAATATATAAAGAATTCTCGCAACTGAATAAAAACATAACACAATTAAAAAGTGGGCAAAGCATCTGAATAGACATTTTTCCAAGGAAGATATGCAAATGGCCAATAACCACATGAAAAGATGTTCATGTTTTCCATTAGAGAAATGCAAATCAAAACCACAATGAGATGCTACTTCTCACACGCTAGGATGGCGATAATCAAAAAGAGAAATAATAGCAAGTGTTGACAAAGATGTGGAGACCATGAACCTTCATACATTGCTGGTATGTAAAATGCTGCAGCCACTTTGGGAAACAGTTTGGCAGTTCCTCAAAATGCCAAGCAAAGTTACTGTATGACCTAACAATTCTATTCCTAGATATTTACCAAGAGAATTAAAAACATACGTCCACAAAAAATTGTACAAGCATCTTCATAGCAGCATTATTCATAATAACCAAAAAGTGGAAACAAACCAAATTCTATGAACTAATGAATTCATAAAATGTGGAATATTCATACAGTGAAATATTATTTGGCAATGAAAAGAAATGAAATACTGATACATAATACAACATGGATGAACTTGAAGTGCACCAAAGAAGCCAAACACAAAAAGGTACATATTGTATGACTCCCTTTATATAAAATATCCAGAATAAGCAAATCTATAGAGACACAAAGTAAATTAGTGATTGGTGAGAGAGGAAGTGGGAAGGACTACTAATGGGTGCATGGTTTCTTTTGGGATGATGCAAGTGTCCTGAAATTAGATTGTGGTTAATGGTTGCACTACTCTGTGAATATGCAAAAAAACCCATGAATTGTGTACTTTAAATTGAACACAAAATGTTCTAAATGGTATGTGAATTATATCTTAATAAAGCTGTTATTTTAAATAAAACAATAATACATTCTTATGTTGGAAAATTTAGACAACACCCAAAAAAGTGTAAAAAATAAAGGAAATTACTTATAATCCCATGAACTAGCAATAACCGTTGTTACATTTAAGTGTATTTTCTTCCAGCATTTTATCTATGGATTTTTTTTACATGACAATGCTCATATTACTTTTATATTTCACATTCTTTCATTAGCATTTCACATGCCATTAAAAAAATCCTTGTAAATATATAAATAGTTATATAATATTCATTTTTATAGATATACCACAATTTAATTATTATATTTTCATGTTACCGTTTCCTTAATACTGGGTATTTAGGTTATTTCCAATGCCTATATTTATTTTTTAACTAGCAAATGAGAACCGAAATTTTGAAAGCTTTCAACCAGATTCCTATTGAAAACCCTTTTTACTAGTTCCCATAACAAAAGAAATCCAAGTTTAATCCATTTTTCCCACATGAACTTTGTTGTACTATTTCATATCTGCAAAAGAAAATTTGAAAACCATGAAAACCAAATGTGTAGGCTCACTGCCAATTACGTGATCTTATGATCTACGTGTTACCTCTTGGCCTCTCTTACAGTCAGGCACATTTATGGCAGCCTATCAACACTTCCCAGCCCCTGTCTATGGGGGATATTAGAGTGTTCCCCACGTGCAACAGATCACAACCTGGGTGACACAACACCAAGCCTCTCTGGGAAGAGTCCCCTGACCCCCAGGCTGCATTGGGCCCCCTCCACGCTCCTGTAGCCCCTGGATTTCCCTCCACCATAGCTCCTCTCACATTTCATAACAATCTGTTTAGGAATTGGTCTTCCAGACCCTGTCTCATTCTATCTCCATATCTCCAGTCCCTCACTTGGGCCTGACAGAGAATTTGTGCTCAGGGAGTATTTATAGAACAACAACAATAATAATAGGTAACATTTATTGAACATTTACCATGGCCAGGCCCTGTTCTGAGTTCTTTATATATATTAACTCAGTTAAATTTTACAACAAACCTAAGAGGTAGATACTATTCTTTTTCCCATTTCATGGTTAAGAACATTAAAGTACAAAGAGGGAAAGTTACTTGCCTGAATATATATATAACTAGTTAGTAGGAGAGCCAGGATTTGAATTTAGGCAGTCTAGCTTCAGAGCATAGGTGTTTAACAGCTACATCAAGAAAAATTGCTAATGAATTTATAAGATACTGATAATGAAGGCTAACTCTAAGATTTTACAGGAATAGAGAGAGCAAGCATGAGGGTAAGCTGCATGAGGATAGGAACCATGCAAGAGTACTGTCCCCCCAACATACAGCTTGGCTGGTACAGATACAGTCCTCAATGAATATGTGAATGA